ATTAATAAATATTTCAAATTCATCAAATGATATTTCATATATATATAGTGAAAGATATGTTAAATTTGATAATATTATTGGTTTAATACCTTTAATGTTTACATTTCTACCTGTTAAATTTAAAAATTTTAAACGACGAAGTTGTGGTGTATAAGATATTATAGCAAAAAGTTCGTCGAAAGCACAAGCATGATTAATATTAAGATATTCGATAGAACTTATTTGCTCATTAGTAACAATTGGTAATGAGATAATTATATCGTAATCATTGGAATCCATTGATGTAAATTTGATATATTTCAATTTTTTTAGATTAAAAATTAATCGATAAATATCACCTAAATCATTTTGAATAGACCATGTACCGATTGTTAATGAGAAAAGACGAGATAAACAAGTTAATTTTGGAAGAACTGAAATTAATACATCTGGTTCAATTGAATTAAACATAAGAGATTCAAGACAATTAAATGATGAATCGATGTTAAATAATGAAATAATTTGATTCGTATTTTCTGATATCCATAAATGAATTGATAATATTTGATTTTTATTAAGAAGTAAAATTCGTTTATAATTATTCATGAAAATTTCGTTTGCTCGTGAATAATAACCAAGTCTTATTTTAAATAGAAGTGATGAAGAATTAATTAATTGATGAAAACGATAATTAAGATTTGAAAAAGCATTATCGATTTCACAACCATTAAGATAATCGAAAATTTCATAAAATAATTCATCAGATAGATTTTCAATGGAATTTATTGACATACTAAATCAAAATTTAATATTAATAAATGTTGGTTTTTTTTTGTCTGTAACTTACGTTTCTTGACTAAATCTAGATAGTAAAAGATGAAATGAATATATCTAGAATGGATAATCTAGACGAAAGAATAAAGCATGCACATGCTTGTTGATTATTTGATGAACTGACGATTACACATTCTTTTTCTTTTCCTTTCTATACAGAATATCTAAGATGAATCATTAACAGTAAGCTACCCTCACCCTACATATAACACACTGAATTTTATTAAGGAGCCTTTCTCAGAAATCTATCTCTAAACGGTACAACGGATGTTAATGAAAATTTCAGGAAATAGAAAAAGTGATATAACTAGCATATGGTAAAAGTTTGAACCAATCATTTCTCATGATTGAGGAGTTATACAGAATATAGTTCTAAAAACATGACTTTTGATTCAGAGCATTTTCCCGATGCTCAGTAGCAAGGATAATTGAGAGAACTATTTCAAAATGAAGGAAAAACATCACCTACAAATTTTTAGAACAATTTTTTGAAATTCGTTTTTCATTGAAATGTAGTGATCAGTTGGAACTGAGAATCACGAAAACTGTTTTCAGCTGTTTACAAGATTTTCATATATCTGAACAACAAATACATATTTTAGAAATCTGTCCCAACAATTTCTAGAGAGAAATTTGTTCTTTTGAATAAATAGGAAATCAATACTATACGTTAAACAATGAACCTGGAAAATGTTCCGAAGTGATCAGAAAACAGTAAAAAAACGAAATTGAGAAAAATGAATAACAACACTGTGATGTGATTTGTTATGTGTTTGCGCAAAAATTTGCACCATGTTATACATCGTTGGAAAGCATGCAAAATATTCTTTCATTCGATGATATTTATGACAAAAAAATGAAACAAATTTTCGAATTCGAGTTTACTGTAGCGCCACCTTTTTTCAGAATTTGGACTGTTTTGAAACTACAACACTTTTGTAAAACCACCAAAACAAGTTCAGAACATGATTGTTCGATATGAAGATTACTTTAGAGTGTCGACAAGTACAAACAAACGATAATATGCAGTTCCTAGTAACTAAGGAAAATTCATTCAAACTGCCTATTCTCGTATAGGCCTTTCGAATAAGCGCGTCAAAACTGGGTTAAACATGTTCCATTCATATACAATTCATATATATTCTGAAAGAGGACACTCAAAACTACAAGAAATTTTTGGAAAATCGAATTATTTTAAGAAAAATCGACTTTCTGAAGGGAATTCTCTCTTAAGTGAACACTAGAAAATATTTTTGTTTATTCTTTTAAAACACTGATGGCGTAGAATCTGCTAGTGCAAACAGCAAATGAAATGGCTTTCGAAGTGATACTCATTAACAATAAGTATGATCAATAAAAGTTCAAATGTTAAACGAACTTGGCTAATTTCGTCAAATAATCTTTCACAAAGTTTTTCTTAATAAAACATCATTTGTTTTGATCACTTCAAATGTTTTTCTTATTTAATTAAACTTAAGATTTGATAGTTTATTCAAATGAAATCAATATGAAGGTAAAATAATAGATATGATCTGTTTTTTTAAAATTTCATTTTTCAATGAGAACTATGATTTAAAGCTAATAATCAATCCGAAATTGAAATTGTTTTAAATTAGTTTTAACATTTAATAATCTTTATTAAAATATATTTTAGTAATAGATTATGTGAAAATGATAATGAGCAACAAATGAATTATACTTTTTCTCAATTCGTATAGATAAAAGAAAGAATCAAAATCATTCAAATTAAGTTAGTTAGTTTAAATTAAACTTTGTTTTATCTATTAAACGTATCGAGTGTTTCGACTGAATCTTTTATTTTTTGTTTTGATTGAGTGAAAAGATTATTTTATAGGAATCTTAGTTTAAAATTATTGTAGATATTTCTAATGATTGATCTTTGACAACTGTTAGATCTGTTTGTTTTTTTTTTCTATAAAAAAATAACAGAAAGTAGTTTTATCAACTTATTTCCAAAACAAAATTGTCAAGACTGAAGAAAACTAACTCATTAAGTTTTCCGTTGACAAAGAAATAATCTGAAAATAAAAATGTTTGTGATAGAAGATTATGTTTAGAACAGATATTCTTACTATGCAAAGAATTTATACAAAACAAAGAAAAAATATTTTGAAAAAAACACATAAGTTTATTTTATATTTAATATTCATTTCTCATTATAATATTATCGTTGATTTAATTCTTCGATAACAATATGCGTCAATATACATTTTATTATAATTATTTTTAATATATCAGATTTTTTTCTTTGTCTGCTGAACTAGTCAATAATTGTATGTTTGATAAATGTCAGAAAGCACCGATTTTAATTATGTATAAATTTCAAATTATAACTGATTTTGATCTGATGAATTATTCTGGTTTAGAAAAATAAAGTTCTCTAGTAGAAGATTAACTACGATATGGCTTTTTTAATTATGTTTAAGAAAAATAATTTATTTAATAAGAAAAGGTTTTTAAGTATGAATGGCCGATTGATAACATATGTATCACTCATATATGTTACGATTTTCTGATAATATTTGTTCGGAAGTAATATTGCTTGAGAATGATTCAATATGAAAATGCATACTTTACAGTTCTTCTATTCTCTATTAGCTTCATATAAGTACAAAAAATGAACTCAATCATCGATTCATAGTTGAAGATCTTTTCTCATTCTATTAAAATATATTTATATAAACATTC